AATATTATATAATATTATAATTATTTTATTTTATTTATTAAAGATGCCTTTGACTTGCTTTGATTGCAATTATAGTTTTCTTCTCGCCCGGTTGAACCCAAGGAATATAACGTAGATGGAATGAAGGTTTTGTTCCAACCTTATTAACATTAAAACATTTTATATTACAACCTGAAAGACCTTAACAAGTTCAACTCCACATTAACTGCCTAAGCATTCACTTCTCGGACGGACACTATTTCCCAAAACGGAACATTAACTAGTAACTACCAAACCGTATTTTAACTACAACTAAAATATAGCATGAACTACGTACCGAGCCGTTTAACTACAACTAGAGACAATCAGAACTCAGAAGTCATCACATGCTAAATTAAGCTAAGATATGCCTGAACAGGTGAGGATGGAAGTCTAAAGTTTGGCAAGCTGGTGGACATTAATGGGGTAAACTTCAGTAGCGCGATAGGATGCAAAGGCTTTAGTTGCTATTTCAACATTCACTGCTTCTGTTGGATGCAATCCATCGAAGAACACATGAGCATTTCTGTATCCACATACTTGCCCACCTTTCTTGCACAAAATTCCATCTCCTCCTTGACTCCTAGGCACCACCTCACAACAAGGACTGCTTGCATCCTTAAATCCTAGGAAATTGCAAACTCAAATGTAAGTTTCTAAATTTTCAATGTTAATCTTGCTAAAAAAAAAAAACTTAGTATTCTTTCATTTTAAAAAACATGTTAAGTGTGTATATCTGTTTGACGTGTCTCTAAATCAATTAATTAAGCACTCTAAAAGTAAAAGTCGGGTAAAATAGTAGTCATATATACTTACCTTTGGACTGAGGGTTTTGGATGATGTCCCTTATGATCTTGTATGAATTGACCATAACAAGGTTAGAACCAGGCATTTCCATTTTGATAGAAGATATGAGGAGCCTCAACTGAGTATTGAAGAGCTCAGCCGCCTGGTTAAGGCCTTGTATGCAGCCGTGACGTTCTGGTTGGAACGCTAGCATCACTGGACTGCACCCTAATGGGTTTATTGACATCAACACAAACTTCCTAGCACCTAAATTGTACAACTTCTGCACAAGGTAAAAGGAATAAGTGCATTATTATACATGTAAGTAATAATATTTTCGAACAATTTTAAAACAGTTTGAATTGATTTCATTTGAATCTTGCACTGCTTCATGTGGCTTATTTCCTTAGAGGGAGTTTGGTTTAAGAGGTTACAAATAGTTATTATAATTGTTAATCCTAATTGAACATATTAAAATTTTAAATTATAAATAATAATAATTATTAATTAGCCATTAAATTTTAACTATTAACTACATTTAAATAATTAATTTATGTAATCTCCTCTCTTTTTATTTTTTGGCACATTAAAAAAGGTGTAGTTGACCGATCCAAGGTACTAATAACACTTGCGTCAACCTAAAAAAAAAGTTCGGTTTGAAATTAAGAATAGGGATTCAAAATTCCTGTAATTCTAAATGAAGTATTTTTTATAAATTTTGTGTTGCTTAAATTTATATTGTTTAACTTATATTTTTTGTATATTATATAATTTAAATTTAAAATTTTTTATTTTTATTGAAAATTTAATATAAACTATTTAACTCATTAACCAAGTAAGTAATTTTAAATATATTATAAAAAATATTTTTCTATCATGTGAAAAATAAAGGAAAAGAAAAATGATTTGTGGAGAATACATACCTACGTTTTTCTTTTTCTTTTTTTTCCCCTTTTTTTTTTTTTGATGAGATCATGTCTACGTCTTAAAATATGTCACGTTCAATAAATTAATTACTGTGTTGTCCTATTATTTTTGTCGACCAATAAATTCATGGTTCAGAAGGTAGATATGGACAGATAAGCTTGTCAGATATATAGTTGGGAGATTCACTCATTTTGACACTATGTTTGAATGTCGATAAAATTGGGCTGGGGTCATTGCCGCTAAACATCTTGTTAAAATTATCAATTTTAATTATAATTTTATTGGTTTATAATTCTTTTAAATTATGAATTATGATAGTTAAAAATATTTATTTATAAATTAATTTTAATTTATTAATTATTAATTTTTTTAATAGTTAACAAAATAAAATTTTGACCATTTTAATAGTTTTAACAATTTAATAATGATTATAACTGTAACTTAAAAATTGAGAATAGATTTTTTTTTTAATGAATGAAAAGAGTTAAGTTGTTTTCACTTGTATCTTAAAAGTACAAATTAAAAATGTAATAAATATATATTTTTATTATAAATTTTTATTAAAAAATAAAAATTAATATTTAATTTATCAATTATCTAATTAAATTTAAAGATTTTTTAACTTTGACCTTAAGGTAAAAGTAAAGCTTATTAAATGTAATATCTATAATTAATTTTACATAAATTTTTATATTAGATTCAGTTAAATTAAAATATAAAATATAAAATTAAAATAAAATAAATATTTAAACTTAAAATCTATAAAAAAAATATAAATTTAGTATAAAAATATATAAAAAATTAATTATAAATACCATAATTAATGAGATTTAACTTAGATAAGTCTTTAAATTTATTCAAGTATATCAATTTTTACTTTCATTTATATAATTTTATGACAAATATATGTTTGTAACATATTCTCTTAAGAGTTTTTTTTTTTTTTTTTTAAGAAAAGCCTCAAAAAAAATATTAACACTAAAGATCGTATAATAAATCTCTAATAGTAATAATTATATAACTGATTTATTTCGGTCAATGAAACTTGTAAATTAATATACAAACAATAACAATTTAGGTCGTTTTTACCAAAAAAAAAAAAAAAAAACAATTTAGGTCGTGTGAGTATTGAAAGATATCGGCGCAAAAAACCATTATGATAAACGGAAGGTCTTCAAAAAAATCTCCTGGTTTTGGACATAATTTTCATGTCGGGTGCACAACATTGAAGGCAAGTTTTAAAGATAAAAGGGGGAATAAGAACAGAAGAGCTAGCATTGAATTAAGTTTACCTTTAGTTGTTGAGAAAGCGAGAGAGTAAGGTTTGAAGTGAAGGCTTGAAGGCTGGCACTACTTCTGTTGGATCTTTTGAGGAAGTAGTTGAATGAGTAATCGTTCCCTCCACTTCCCACCACAAACAGATAGTTTGCAACCAAATCTTTCCCTTTACACTTCATTTCCTTCTCAAGTTGAGCTAACGTCACCTCCTCAAAGTTCTTTATTTGTTGATTTAGACTTGTTATGTTACCCTGAAATTCAACAGTGTGTTAGCAAATACCCCATTTATATATGCACTTAACTTCCTAAGGAATGTTTGGCTTAGGAACATCCTAAAAAATGGTCCAAGAATGGTGAAGTTGGACATGATTGATTGAAAGTGAAATCAACAAATAAAGAAAATATCAAATACATAGATTATAAACCGTTATACATCGTATATAATTCATAATCAGATATATCAAAAAAAATAAAAACGTTAGCTTACCACTATTAAACCTGTATCGTCTAGAATGCCAGAGGCACCAGAAGCAAAGTTGACACCATGGATGATTTTGTTTCCCTTTGTTGCGGGATGAGAAAAAGGAGGAATCAAAGAAGGAAGCTTAAGCTGTTCGGTGAGAAGGTCGATGACATTTTCCCCGTTGGTAAACCTACCGGAGGGGCCCGAAGGGAAGTCTATACCGTACGGTAAGTAATCGGCCTTGGCCAATGAGTTCTTGAGGAAGTTGTTGTTTCCATTGTCAACCAAAGAGCTCCCAAACACAAACATTCCTCTTACTCCGTTCCCATCCTTCACTGATCTCACATCGCAGTCACAGTGGCACGGGAAGAAAAGAGCGAAGAATGGAATGCTAATTAAAAGGAGAAATACTGATGTCTTTGAAATCATGTTGTTTGCTCTTGTTTTTCTTTCGAAGTTCAAAGTTTGACGTGATGAAGTATAAGAACAAAGAGGTGGTCATTTATAGTATGGAGCTCAAGTTTTTTTTTTTTTTTTGGTTAATTATTTCTTTTTTGGACTTGAATAGAGGTGGGGGACGGGTATTGGAATTAGATAGCTGGGTCGGGGGTGGGGATCGAATTTAGCCCTCGTCTAAGAGCCACACTACTGAGTCCTTACTAGTTATGTCAATTTAAAAGAGTTGGCAAAAGTAAATTTTTTTATGGATGAAGTTTAAATTTTAGCTAGGTGAATGGTACTGAAATTTTAATGCTCGGCAACCTCCAGTCAGAGGGGTGGTGAGGATTAAATGAGGGGGACGAAAAAAACATTATCTGCCCATTAATATTATTGTTCTTTTCCTTTCTGATTGATGTTCCAGTACTTTTTTTTTTCCTTTCTGATTGATGTTCCAGTACTTTTTTTTTTCCTTTCTGATTGATGTTCCAGTACTTTTTTTTTTCCTTTCTGATAGATGTTCCAGTACTTCTGTTACCAACGCATCAACAAAATTATCTTAAAACATAAAAAAAATATTTATATAAAATTAATTCTTGAAATGTTAAACAGCTAACTTTTATTTATTGCAGAAAAAAAATCTAACAGTACTACAGTAGAGAGATGGCAGGAAGTGAAGAACTCATTTCGGCCAACCAAGGAAGGAATTGAGGAAGAAAACAGGAGTTCATGAAATGAAAAAAGTGATGGCATGGAATCATCATCAATGAACTCAAATGTGACACGTCTTCCACAGACATGGACCTGTAAGTAATAAATTTCCCTCAGTAGATAAGGCAGATACTTTATGTAAGAAAAAGATTTTATATCGTTAGCGGCGGTCCAAGCGTCAAAATGC